AATGGTAGTGAGGTTGGCCCAGCATAGGGCAGTGTTTCGTTCTGCTGTGCATAAGGTCGCTATGGGTCGGTACCGACTCCATGGCACCTAACAACAACAGGATAAGGTTCTGCTGAATTTTCCACCCCAGGTAACTAGACAAGTCTATTTGTTTTAACCGCTCTGTGTATTTTGTATAAAACCCCGTTCCCCAACTCACTTGGGGGTCAGAGTGATTTGGGCTTGAGCTGACAACTCTGGCCGCCAGCAATAAACTTTGCTCTTTAAGATTTCCGACTTGAGTTGTTTATGACTCATGCTTCCGCCACAGTGTCATCTTTTGGGAAGCAGACCGAATTTAGGTTGACTCTGATCAATAAACAATGAGGGAAGCCATCAGTGAGATGCTGGAGCCCCTCTCTTGGCGGGCCTTTAAGCTTCTAGAACTCCTCTGTGTCCAGACCTGTCTTTCGAAGTTCAGCTCGGATGCTACTATCTTATCTAGCACCAGGAGACCTGGCTGGACCCCCAGAGAAGGGCAAAGGTTAAGTTCCTCCACGGTTGGACCCCTCGCGTCTTCACATGCCGGGATACCCAGGAAGCCCCTCCGGACTAAAAAGCCTCTGTGTCCTGGGCCGCATCCTCACCGCGCCTGCGCACTGGGCCCGCCAGATACCGCGCAGCTCATTACTTCTTGGTGCGTTTTAGGCCACGTCCCGTGACGGCAGAGTCCAGCGACAGCTGCGCGCCTGGTGGCGTCATCGCGCCGCGCCGCGGCCGGGCTCCAAGCACCTGTACGTCATGGCGGAGGTGGGCCGGGCGGTGGTGCGCGACCCTGGGGCGCTGCTGCCGGGGGGTTTCTGGGCCGCCGTGGCCGTGTGGCTCGAGAGACCGCAGGTGGCCAACAAGCGGCTGTGCGGAGCCCGCCTGGAGGCCCGCTGGGAAGCCACCCTGCCCCGCGCCGAGCCGGAATCTCCCGGGAGCCCCCCAAGTCCTAGCCCGCGAGCAGGCCCCGAACGGGGCGGAGCGGCTGTCTGGGAGCCGGACTCGCTCTGGGGAGAGTTCTCCCGAAGCCTGGCCAGTGGCGATGGGCAGTTGTTGGCCTTCCTTGCCGGCGCTGAGGCCGGGCTGCAGCCGGCCGCGCCGGGAGACTTGGACGTGGTTCTCAGAACCATCATCCCGAAAAGGCAGCCCCAGTGCCCTTGCTCGACTCCGGGGAGAGAGCTGGTCCTGCAAGGTAGGAGTGGGTGTGGTGGTGTTCCTGTGCTGACTGATGGGATGCCGGAAGTGATGTCAGTCCCGCAGGTCAGTCACCCACGGTGGACCGCTGTCCACGGACCGTCCCCCGGGAACTACTTCGCAAAGGTTGGGTGGACATTGTCCGATACACTTCCGGAAGTTGAAGACTTTGTGAACAGCTCCAGAATATTGTCACATATATAGCTGGAATACGAGCCCCTCAGGATGAAAGGCAATTGAAATATGACTGGGTAAAAGCTGCTTCCTCAAAGGAGAGTTGACTGTGCTGACGTGAATGGAGTAAAGCTTTTGGGACCTTCATTTGCTGATGGGACACAACTCAAAACACAGAGAAACAGCTGCAGACATCCATGGAGCATCAGAACCTGGATTATATAACGAATAACGTGGCATCAGGATTAGAGAAAGACTCATTAACAACCTGTGATATGCA